CTTATTGTGAGCTATTCCCCAGTTTTTTTATTACACACATTTCGAAATTACCTGCATAACACTGTTCAATTAAATTGAAACATTTATCAGATTTCTTTCTTTTATTATCTTCGCTGTTTGTTTTTAGCTACTGTCGTGGTATAATTAAGTATTATTATTATACCGGGTTGTGTATGAATAGGTAGAATGTATAGTTAGTTGCATAGGTTGGTGGACAGAGAAGTTGAGTTAGGAGGTAATTTCAAGTTGGATTTGCAAAATCGCAAGTGCCGTTGCTATGGTAATTGCGATGACAGTTGTTGCGATTCGCGGTTTGATTCGTTATCGCGACTGCTGTCATCGTATCTTACGATAGACTACAAACTACAATGATTTGTAACAATCAGATATATTTATAATTTCACCGCCAACTTAATCTGCCTCCACTGCGTTCTGTACGGCCGTCACAATATGTCCATTTTCATTGTTGAAATCATATATCTAATAGTACTATATTGCTAACTGGCCTTAAAAGAGTCCGAAAACATAACGGCAGAGCAATATATCGGACCTCGGATTTTTGTTAAAAATATCTAACAGGTTTTATAAGCAAATACATATTCTTGAAGGAAATACATTTTTTTTAGGTGTTCAGAAGAAATCATACTTTCACCAGTATAGTTATTTCACGTATTAAAAGTAAATTTTCAGCCGATGAGCGGAGGAAAAGGAAAGGTGAAGATGGTATCGACATCACAAGAAGATTGAGAATAACACCACAAAATGGCGAATATAAAACAGAAAAACAGAGGACGGAAATAGCAGTCGTGGAGGACACGAGAACAATTAGAGAAGAACAAAAAAGAACAAGCGAAGAAATAAAGGGAATGAGAAAAGAAATAGCACAAAACCAAGAACAATATAAGGAAGAAATAAGACAGTTAAAAGAATCTAATGAGAAATTGGTAAGAGTACTAGATGGGCTAAAACAGAAATAATAGCTGCCAAAGAGAGAGTAGAAGAGATAGAAAAGGAAAAGAGGAAGAAAAATATAGTAGTACAAGGTATTAAAATAAATGAAAACAAACAGAGCATTTTAAAAGAGGCAATGAAAAGTTTTATGGACAAAGAAATGGGAGTAAGGCTAAAAGTAAACACAGTAGGATAAAATGAAAATAATGGAAAACAAAAGTAAATTCAAAAACAGAAATGATGAACCAATTTACATAAATGATGACTTGACAAAGGAAGAAAGAAGAATAGCACAACTAGAAAGGAATAAGGGGAAGAAAAGCAAGGTAGGATATCAAAAGATCATAATAGAGAGAGAAACATAGAGATGGAATAAGGAAAAAAATGAGATTGTTACAGACAAAAGCAAAGAATTAAAAAATTAGACAAGGTGGAAAAAAAACTCGGAACGAACGAAGACGACATGGTGAGATAAAGAGACACGAAATGGAAAAACAAGAAAAAAGCAGCAGGAACGAAGAACAAGGGTGGTAGAACAGTAATTAAATTGGGAACATGGAACGTAAGAGGTACTTACGAAGAAGGAGCCCTGAGAAACCTGATAGACACAATGGAAAATTATCGGTTGGACTTATTAGCTCTACAAGAAACAAAGCAGCAAGGAAATGAAGTTATGGAGATAAGAAAAAACGTATTCTTTAAAAGTGGAGGAAACAAAAAGTCCTTTGGGACGGGATTTATTGTGAATGAAAAGCCGAAGAGCACCATGATTGACTTCAAATCAATATCGAACAGAATATGTTACATAAGAATCCGAGGAAAATATAAAAAAATAAGCATTATAAATGGACATGTACCTACAGAAGAGAAAAGCATAGAAATAAAAAATGAATTTTATGAAACGAGTGCAGATATAATAAGATAAATTCCAAAATATGACATAAAAATATTTGTCGGAGACACAAATGCAAAAGTAGGAAGAGAAGAAGACTTCCGGCATATCACCGGAGGAAAAAGTCTACACAAAGGAAGCAACGAAAATGGAAAAATGCTTATACAGTTTGCTCAAGAAAATTAAATGAAAATAATAAGCACTCATTTTGACCATAAAAATATACATAAAGAAACATGGACCTCCCCGAGCAACAAGACAAAGAACCAAATAGACCATGTGCTAATAGAAACTAGAAACCATACGATGATTCACAATTGTAGGAGCTACAGGGAAGCAGATGCTAACAGCGACCACATATTAGTTATAGCAAAAATAAAAGAAAAACTACCAACCAATAGAAAACTGAAAAAAGAAAGAAAAAGAGTCAATGTTGAGATACTAAAGGACAAAAAAATAACAACAAATTGAAAGAGAATTAAATAAAGACTAGGAAGTAAAGATACAAAGAAAGTGAATGGAGCCAAATTGAAGCAGAAATGGTAGAAACACCAAAAAAATACGTGGACAACACCGAACGAAGAAGTAGAAAGCAAGATTGGTATGATGAAGAATGTAAGAAAGCCTTGATAAGTAGAAACATTGAAGACCTACTAAATGACAAGACTGAGGAAGGACAACAGCCAAAAGTAGTGAAAAGAAGAAGACAAGAAAATAATGTAAAACAAGAAAAAATAGAAGAACCAACAAGACAAGAAGTGAGTAGAATGATACAAGAAATGAAAAGTCATAAAAACCCCGGAGAAAATCGAATACCTGCAGAACTAAAATTTAGGTTTGCAGTTTTGCTACAATATATTAACATAATTCCTATTTTTATTATTATTAAGTATAGGTAGGCGCAACATTAGAGTATTTTCAAATTTCGAAAAAATATAGTGAAACATAAACCTGCCGCCAGTGACACACTAATAGTAATACTGACGATGATAATTTCAGTGCTGTTGATTCTAGAACAAATTCGAATAGGTAGTGCATTCTTTTATTTTTATAGTTAGTCGCTAACCGGATAATGTTGCCGCAAACCTAAAAATAAAATGTTTGCCTCAAAATACCGTTCTAATTATGCCACGGTTTTCTACTGCAAAACTAAAATACTACATCTTTACATCATGAACAGTGCTAAGCACAGTCGACACATTTTTAAATTTTTATTATTTACAATTAAATTAGGATTATTAGCACTTTTGGCATTTAATTAAATGTGACCTTGATCAAAACCTTCTTCCTATATAAGCCGGGTTTCCCAATCGCAGTAAAAAATTATCTATGTAATGATTGAAACTTTTACGTTCCTCAAGTCTCTTTCTAAAAAAATTGGTTATTGGCGAACCAGTTTTGATCATGTTAACAAGGTTAGACAAGGCGTCATCGGCTTTTTTCAACATTATAACGTTCAGTTCATTCCTAAAACAATGGAAACATACTTATATTTATTTAGTACAAGTATCACTTACAGTTTTTTGGGGAGTGTTGAATTCCATTCTTTTTTGTGAGTTCGTTGTGCGTTAACAAATACAAAAATCAACGAAAATAAGAATACGACTTTAAAAGATTCCATGTTGTGCACAAAAAAATTCGCCAGCCGGTTCTATACGGAGAAATGACAAATTGAACATAAAAAGAGTTGACTTCGACTAATTTGGGATATTTCCACGTTTATTCGTGTGTCACGTTATTTGAAGTGGTTTAATAAAATGACCACTTATTTTAATTTTGCGAATTAAGTTAAACAACTAAAATTGTATTGTTAAAAAAGTTGTTTGACAAGAGATTTTTGCATGAATTGTCATTAGATTAATTGTTTGGGACTGATGGAATAAAATTGAAACAAATAAGTCCAGATTTTTCAGTTGCTCATTTAATAAATTCATTGAACCCTGTATTATTTTATTGGGACGACAGTATATTCCTTTGGTTGTTCATTATTATCTTTATGGTTCAAAAGACAAGCTAGTTAATTTTCTAAATTATGTAAAATATTTAATAAAAATTTTATTGTGAAAAAATCGAAAAAACTATTCACAATTATTGTTATTTAAATTTAAGGTATATTTAGATGAAATATGTTTGCATTAATTTTCCAAAGTTCATTGTCTCCTGTTGAATAAATTACATCATGTATGAAGTAAATTAAATCAAGTGAGATTTCTTATACTCATTAGACAGATTTTTTAAACTAAAAATGGATAAAAAAACTTGTTTTTCGTGACAACAGATTTTCGAAAAATGTAAATTTTCTTTGTGTTTTTTTGGCTGTTTCTTTATCATTATAGCCTCACGTCCATTGCCTATACACTGTTCGATCCCATTATGCATTTAATTTGTAGTCGGTGAGGAATGGAAAATTAATAGGGGGCGATATCTTGCATCAGATTCACTTTTGTTGTATTTTTTTGCGAGTGACCTTGCCGACCTTGTCTCGAAGTCGATATTTTCAAGTTGGTAAACTCACAAAAGTGTAAGGCAAGGTAACTGTTGAACTGTTCTGGTTTATAACTAAAATTATTTTAAAATTTCTCATTGATCCAAAATATATAATTACGTATAGAATTTTGTAACAATATTTTTTTGGTAGGATACAGGTGGATAAATATAGTTATTACAGTTTGATAGTTTTCAAATATTAATTAATAATAATTAGTAATTAGTAATTTATTATCCAACGGGCAGAAGCCCATCTAGGAAAAAATAGTACATGTGTTTCTAGCTACATAATCACATAAATAGTAATATAGTACAGATACTTTAAGAGTAGACATAAACATTAAAATGAATAAAGAAATAAAATCTTACAACGGATCAACAAACTAAAAATTAAAGAACAAAAATTTACATTTATCAGAGAATTGATGCAATGTCATACCGAACAAATCCTGAGACTGTCTATACTTATTATATAACCGTTGCATGTGAACTAATGGAGAGTAAAAATGTTGATTTGATTTAACTATATTACAATGGAAAAGCATAGGTTGTCTTACATTATTCGATCTGGGCACTAATATATGTATGTATTCTAGTAAAGCGCTATCTTGTATGATATTATGAAAAATTTTGAATAAAAACATAAGTAAATAATAGTCTCTTCTTGCAGATAGTGGTACTAAGTTTAATTGCCGCAAAAGTATATCATGAGGATAATGTAGTGTTGGATATTTACCATATTTCTTAAAATAAAGATATTTAGAAAACTTTCGTTGTACTCGTTCTAAAGATGCTATGTGGACAATATAATAAGGACTCCAGACAACTGAGTTGTATTCTAAGATGGATGATGGATCTTACATATGAGTTATAGAGTTGCATAATGCACTTAATGTTACTAAATTCACGAGAATTTCTTACAATAAAACCCAACGTACGCATGGCCTTATTAATAATATAATGTACATGAGGTACAAAAGACAAAGTTGTATCCATAATGAGACCTAAATCTTTAAACTCCGTACATCTTTTTAAAGAAACATTTAGCATATTATAATCAAAAGAAATATTACAATTCTTGCGGCTATAAGTCATAATTCGGCATTTGTCTCTGTTCATAAACAACCTATTAACATTACACCAATCGACAACACTATCTATGTTACGTTGTAAAATTAGACAATCTTTTATGTTATCCACGACTTTGACTATTTTAAGATCATCTGCATATAATAAGATTTTACAGTCGGGACTTACACTTTTAACAATATCGTTTATAAATATGACAAACAATAGGGGACCTAAATTTGAGCCTTGCACCACTCCAGATGGACAATCGTAAACAAAAGATTTGTAACCACTATATTCTACAAACTGTTTTTGATCAGCAAGTATAGATCTAACCAAAGACACTAAATTATTACATAAGCCAAAAGATTTTAATTTATGTAACATAATCCTGTGATTTACCTTATCAAATGCTTTTGACAAATCTGTATAAACAGTATCAATTTGCAATCTTAGGTCTAAAGAGGATGAAACAAAATGTATAAATTCACAAAGATTAGTACTGGTTGATTTACCTTGAACAAATCCATGTTGAAAGTCGGATATTTGATGTATAACATGACTATAAATAATCTTAGATAATATGGTCTCAAACAGTTTTGCGAAATTAGGTATGATAGCTATCGGTCTGTAATTAGTAACATCTTTATTTGATCCTGATTTAAATATTGGACAGACCTTCGCTGTCTTCCAAACAGATGGAAAAACCGCCGACTCAACAATTAGATTGAATAAATAACACAAAGGTTTTGCTAAACATGAAATACAGTCACGAACAAAGAAAGCAGGAATGTTGTCAGTACCCATCGTTAAGTTAGGTCTTATCTTCCGACTAGCTTCAATAATGTCATTTTCCGTGATATGAAATTTGTGTAGCACTGGTATATTAAAATCACAACCAAGAATTATGTCACATATCAACATATCACAGTTACACATATCACAGACAGAATGATCGCAATTGGACATATCACAGTATTTGGCATTTGGAATCACCTGATAGAGGAGCTGTAGAAGAATCACAGAAAACGCTAGAAAAGTGTTGTGCAAAACCATCGACAATAGACTGTGGGTCCGATAAAACGTTGTCGTGGAGCTTCATTTGCCTTGGGATTCTTGATGTTTGCTTTTTAGAATTGACATATGCCCAAAATTTTGATGGATTTGTTTTCATATCAATCTGAGAACGTGTAACAAATAAATTAAATTCACGTCGTATTAACGACCGTAACTCGCTACTCAGTTTCTTTGTTGTATCTTTATGATGTAACAGACCGCATTTTTTAAATAGTTTCCAATGGTGTTGTTTTTTAATTAACAAACTGATAATCTCTGGTGTAAACCAAATAGGGTATTTCTTGTTTGATTTTTGGCTTTTCGGAACATAAATATCAAATAGTTGAAGAACAGTATCATTTATACCCCTGCATACCTGCTCGGTGCTTTGAAGAAGAAGGACGTCATTCCAGTTCCAATTACACTGGTCAACAAAATTCAATTTTTTCTCTCTAACTTTGACATAATTGTAATGTTTTCGTTTAATTTGTCTCTGTGTTTGTAACAAAGGGCATAAATCTTACAACTTAGCTCAATTAAAAATAAAAATGCATATTTGATGTTAAAAACAAAAAAGCAGGTAAAACAATTTAATTTTTGTATCTTTAACGGCAAAAAGTGATGTATTAACAAAAGAACAACCATAATTAAGAAAAAAACAACGATTGTAGATTAAAAAAAGAAAAAAACAAAAGAAACAGCTAAGACCGACGTTTTTTCGGTTGCCTACTATGAATTTCATTGGAGATCTCTCGCTTGATGGTCCCGCAGTATTTTGCGAGCATTTAGGGGTTCCATCGATCTTGGTAACCTTTTTGTATCCACAAAATGCCCAGATGGAAACGTTCTCTATGTCCGTCACTCACGTCGTCATAATTTTTGGGGAAAAAATCAAGATGCGAATACATAAAATGCACTTTTAAGAATATGTTAATTTTAAATTTTTTATATGATGATAACATGTTTTCTACTTACTAAACGTAGTTTTCTTATTGTTTCCCAAGAAGTTTGTAGCAATTTGACCACAAAAAAATACACCTTATAGAAAGTTTCCTATTACTTAATAGTACGATTTTTGTATTTTTCAAAGGATAATATTGAAGATTACTTTTAAATGAGAGCTAAGTTTGGGTTTAGCCGTTTATAATATCATTTAAAATTGTTAATTAAATAATAATTGGCTGCTATAATAAAAGTTAGAGCTTAGCTGTTGACCAGTGTTATTAATTGCTTGATACAAATTTGGTAAGTCACCTCTTCTGAAATTATATGTCGGAGTACTGGTTTCAGGCACTACACTCTCAAAAAAGTTAAGAGAAAATGAGAATAACATATTTAAAGATGGATGATGGCCGTCTTCTTTAACAAGAGGTAAATTATTTCGAGAAACCAAACATGTAATATTCTCAGAGCAAAGAACAAGATCCAGAATTCTTGAGTTATTATTTAGTATGCGGTTGCTTTGTTTCAGATTGAAATAGTTTAGAATGGACATAAAACTAGTGAAAATGGTTGTAAGTTGTTGATTTCTATCAAGGCAAGCCTGAAATTCTGGAATATTAAAATCTCCAATGATAATGCAACTGTTAGTCAAGATGTAGGATGTTTCTAAAAATTCGAATATCTCTTCATACAAATCCGCTCTTGTTGAAGGTGGAAAGTAGAAATTAATGATCAAGATATGAACTCCACATATTATTACTTTAACTATCAATAAATCAATTTCAGGGTACGGAGATTCACACATTATTGTGTCTACAGCATATTTGTGATTTACTGCAATCAATGTACCACGACATTTGTTACGAGCCAAATTCACAGCTCGCTGCCGGCCTGCTCGTAGAGAAGGGGTGAGTTCCTGCGGGTGCAAAGTGTCAGGTCGCTAGAGGTTCGCAAAGAATAGAGCACACTGTTTTGTGTAGCGACGTCGCCAGGGCGCCACCAGTTTTTTATTAATACACAATTACAACAAGAAAAAAAAACCGGAAAAATATAAATATTGTAATTGCAAGCTGTTACTTAAAATATCTGACTACGATAAAACCTAAGGTCACTAATTAAAAAGAAAAATAGGAGTGAGAAATAACTAGATAATTAAGCAGAAAAATAAATGAGTAAGATGTTAACGATTTAATGCGACGAACTATTGACGATAATTACGAGCGATACGAACGAGGTTTAATTACTAAAGGCGACTAACTATTTACGGGAATTACGAGCGATACGAACGAGGTTTACGAAGCGATCAAATTAATTGAAGTCGTCACGAATAACGATTTGATTAAATATTTCGAGTGCAATGGAAAAGACGAGGTAGGTCACACGCTCGGTAGTTCTAACGATCGTACGAAGGTATCAGTGTGGGGCGGAGCGTCACAGTCGTACCGGTTGTTATTAATAGGTTATGTACTAGTGCTAGTTACGCCAAAATTCGAAAACGATTTACGATACAATGAAGAAGGTAAGTCTATTAATACTTAAATCTAATAAGAAGGAATGGAAGTACCATGGGCACCTGCCTCCTGCGGTATCAACGACGAGATGTCGAAACAGCGGCGTCGCAGCGAATTCCCAGGGCGATGTCCAGTCGGGGATTGTGTGACGGCCTATCCAACAGATGATAACTCTCCAGCTGTTATGGGAGGGCTCACGACTGCCCACAACAGTCGGAATTCATAGAATTCGTTCTCCCACTCAAAACTGGATCCGATTCTCAATCTCGGGGATAATAAGATCAGCAACAAAAAAAAAAAGCTGCAAGGAGAGCAAAGTCTGAGAAGATGTTCGAACTCAGTCAACCCCAAGGGTTCCACATGTCACATGCACTTGGTAAGTAGTAAAATATTATCGTTAACATGAAAATAACCATAACCACTGTTCGAAGGGATGCCAGGGAAAAGCTAATCAAAAGATTTACCTGCGGATCGACTGCAGCTTCTCCGATTTTAGCGGGATGGTCTAGTGCCCTTAACCAAAAAATCCGACGAAGTCGTAGTGCTCGAACGCACTATTTCTCTTGCAGCTCACAAAAGCGCTCTAAGCGATAGCACCTTTTAGGGGACCAAGCAGATCCGACGAATGCAATTCCAAACGAACGACGAGTAAAAGGTTGCTAAAACGAACTGCAAAAGAGGAAAGCACTATCCCCCAACACCAGTCAGCACGGAGTACCAAAGCAAAATGGATTCCCTTCCACCTGTGATGACGTGGCAAGGTGACGAAGCGAGAGTTCACGGAAGTTTGGCCCTCTAGTGGCAAACTTACGAAACGTCGAATTCCGACGAAAATCCCTAATCGATGTAACTAATGAGTGGATGCGATGGTTATTAACAAAAGGAAAAAAAAAAACAAGTCTATCAGGATTCAAGAAATGACGAAAATCCTAGGGGACGCTCCACGGCGTTTGTACCCACCTAGGTAAGCAAATGAAATTCGCGAACAAAAATAACAAAAAGAACGAAAATCGATTTTCAGAGTGAAGCTCTGCGATGGCGCGATCCATCCAGTTCCTTATAGCAAGAACCAAGCTGAAACGATCCAAAAGACCGATCTACAACAGCGAGGCTGAAACACTCATCTGAGCCCCTCCAAGCTCAGAATCATC